TACATACATACACATATACATATATACACATATATACACGCATATATATATTCGTGTGTGTGTATATATATATACATATATATGTGTGTGTGTGTGTGTGTGTGTGTGTGTGTGTGTATGTGTATAAATGCTGTTGCTTCAGAGAGAAGGGCATGTAGCAAAAGGCTTCTCAGAACGTGTCATCCTGTCCTTTTGCTTGTGGGATCAGGCCGGAAATTTCTTGGCTACAAGTGCTTTGTACCTAAAGATGGAGATGATGTATGGATGGATGGATGGATAGATACGTGATAGACAGATTAGAAAGATTAGATAGATTAGATAGATAATTTCCTGCCTAATCCCACAGCAAAAGGACAGGATAACATGCTCTGAGAAGCCTTATGCTACATGCCCTTCTCTCAACCTTTTGAAACATCAGCATCAGCAAGCAGAGAACACAAAATAGAGAGATCAGGCTTGGAGGCATGGGAAAAATTCTATATAAAAGAGGTAACACTTAAACTGGTTCTTAAGAAATGGTTAAATAATTATGAGAAATGTTTTATTAATAAAAATAGGCAAGGCCTTTGAGTAGTTGGAAATGATAAATCCAGACACTTCTCGGCAGAAGTCCATCTTTTCCTGAGATAGGAAGGCAAAGGGTAAGAGGAAGTAGGTGTGGTAGTGGTTGCTGGTGCAGGAAAAGGGCAGGAAGCCGACTGAGTACTTTGTATTCCCAGTAAAATCTTCCAGACTTAATCACTGATCTCCAAACAATTTTCTTAGTTGTCAGCTCTTTATATCGAGATGTTGATTAATTGTGCCCTCTTTACTACAAACCTACTAATGAATTTCTAAGATCATGTAACAGTAGACTAGGCATAAAATGTTCATATTTATCAAATGTTTTTCTTACGTGTATTTCTTAGTTGAATGTAGTCTTGTTTTTGATTATGTTGCTTATGCTTTAGGTGTCCTATCCAAAAATTTATTGCCAAGACCCATGTGAAGGAGCTTTTTCCGTTTTTTTTTCCTAGGAGTTTTATGGTTTCTGGTCTTACAAATAAGTCTTTAATCTATTTAAAGTTAATTTTTGTGAGCGATATAAGATAGTGGTCTAGTTTCATTACTTTACATGTGAATATCCAATTATCCCAACACCATTTACTGAAGAGACTATAGTTTTTCTTCATGAGTATTCTTGGCTCTCTCAAATATTAGTTGATTATATAGGCATGGATTTTTTTCTGGGCTCTTAATTCTATTCATTGATTCATGTGTTTTTATATCAGTACCATACACTTCTGATTACTATAGCTTTGTTTTTTTCTCATCCTCTCACCACTCTCCCCTCTGGCAACCATATGTAGCTTTATAATATAGCTTGAAATCAGGAAGTGTGATGCTTCCTGCTTTGTTCCTTTTTCTCAGGATTGCTTTGGCTATTAGGGGTCTTTTGTGGTTCTATACAAATTTTAGGGGATAGTTTTTTCTGTTTCTGAAATCTTGGAATCTTGATAGGGATTGGAATCTTAATAGGGATTGCATTGAGTCTGTAGGTAGCTTTTGGTAGTATTGACATTTTAACTATTAATTCTTCCAATCTATGAATTTGGGATACCTTTCCATTTGTTTCTTCTTTGATTTCTTTCATCCTTGTAGTTTTCAGACTAGAGATCTTTCACTTCTAATTTTATTCCTGAGCATGTTATTGTTTTTGATGGTGTGTATTATAAATGGAACCATTTTATTTTCCGTAATTCATTGTTAGTGTATATAGAAATGCTACTACTTTTTGTATGTTAGTTTTTTATCCTGCAACTTTATTGAATTTTTAAATTATATTTAACATTTTGTGTGTGTTATTTCTAGGATATTCTATATATAAAATCATGTAATCTGCAAATAGACATCTTCCTTTTTAATTCCGATGACTTTTTCATGCCTGATTGCTCTAGGTAGGACTTTCAGTCCTATGTTGAATAGGAGTGGCGAAAGTGGGCCCTTGTCTTATTGCCAATCTTAAAAAGCTTTTCAACCTTTCACCATGAATACGTTAGCTATGTCATACATGGCGTTATTATGTTGAGGTACATTCTTTCTACACCTGCTTTAAGAGTTTTTATCATGAACATATGTTGAATTTTGTCAAATGCTTTTTTTCTGTGTCTATTGAGATGAGCATGATTTTTGAAATTCTATTAATGTATCACATTGGTTGATTTGTGGATGTTGAACCATCCTTGTGTCCCAGGGAAAATTCCTCTCATTATGGTAAATGGTCTTTTAAATGTGTTGCCAAATTTGGTTTGCTAGTATTTTGTTGAGGACTTTTGTGTCTGTTATTCATCAGGAATATTGGCCTGTAGTTTTCTTTTCTGGTAATGTCCTTTTCTGGCTTTGGTATTGGGGTAATGCTGGCCCTGTAAAATAATTTTGGGAGTGCTCCCTCCTATTTGATTTTTTGGAAGAATTTGAGAAGGCTTGGCATTAATTCTTTATAAATGTTTGGTAAAATTCACCAGTTAAACATCTTTGCCTGAGTATATTTGGGGAAGGTTTGTAAATGTAAATTCAATTATTTTAATAGTTATATGACTATTCAGGTAATCTATTTCATATTAGATGAGTATTGGTAGTTTATGTGGGGTTTTTTTTTGAGAAACTGATTAATTTCATTAAACTTTCACTTCTAATTTTATTCCTGAGCATGTTATTGTTTTTGATGGTGTGTATTATAAATGGAACCATTTTATTTTCCGTAATTCATTGTTAGTGTATATAGAAATGCTACTACTTTTTGTATGTTAGTTTTTTATCCTGCAACTTTATTGAATTTTTAAATTATATTTAACATTTTGTGTGTGTTATTTCTAGGATATTCTATATATAAAATCATGTAATCTGCAAATAGACATCTTCCTTTTTAATTCCGATGACTTTTTCATGCCTGATTGCTCTAGGTAGGACTTTCAGTCCTATGTTGAATAGGAGTGGCGAAAGTGGGCCCTTGTCTTATTGCCAATCTTAAAAAGCTTTTCAACCTTTCACCATGAATACGTTAGCTATGTCATACATGGCGTTATTATGTTGAGGTACATTCTTTCTACACCTGCTTTAAGAGTTTTTATCATGAACATATGTTGAATTTTGTCAAATGCTTTTTTTCTGTGTCTATTGAGATGAGCATGATTTTTGAAATTCTATTAATGTATCACATTGGTTGATTTGTGGATGTTGAACCATCCTTGTGTCCCAGGGAAAATTCCTCTCATTATGGTAAATGGTCTTTTAAATGTGTTGCCAAATTTGGTTTGCTAGTATTTTGTTGAGGACTTTTGTGTCTGTTATTCATCAGGAATATTGGCCTGTAGTTTTCTTTTCTGGTAATGTCCTTTTCTGGCTTTGGTATTGGGGTAATGCTGGCCCTGTAAAATAATTTTGGGAGTGCTCCCTCCTATTTGATTTTTTGGAAGAATTTGAGAAGGCTTGGCATTAATTCTTTATAAATGTTTGGTAAAATTCACCAGTGAAGCTATTTGGTCCAGGGCTATTATTTGTTGGGAGATTTTTGATTACTGATTTAATCTTATTAGTAATTGGTCTGTTCAGATTTTCTCTACTCTGGATTCAATCTTGGTAGGTTTTATGTTTCTAATAATTTTTTCCATTTCTTCTAGAGCTATACTCATCAGTGGGCCAGGCTGACTCAGCTCTCCTGATCTAGCAGGGGTAGACCAGACCTCAGGGCTGGTGAGGACCCAAATCAGGCAGTCCTGCATCCTGCTACCTTCTCTGGTCAGACTGTGCCACCAACTTGACTTTGCAGATGAGCAAAGCCACTGGTTGGGATTACTACTTGGGCATTTCAGGTAGGAACTCTGCCAAGTTCTGAGTACAGGCTGTTGCAAGCCCTTGACCTCTTCTCCATCGCAGATTCCTGGTGGTCAAGGCCCCACAGATTTCTGGAGCGAGACAGGTGTGGGCGCTCACGAGAAGTGACCCACAATGCCAGGTTAGCTCGATGTCTACCCTGGGATTTTTTTTTTCCAATGGGGTAACTTATAGGTTCAGGGGAGACCTCTTCTATTGAGATGATCATGATTTTTAAAAATAAATTTAAAAATTTATGCTTAGGAGATGTGCTGTGATGATTTGGGAAGGGGAAATACAGCCACTATATAGAATTTCCTCTTATTCTTCTAATGTAGTCTTAGTCTCTTGTCCATGAATATAGTTTTTCTTGTGAGGGAGAAAAAGTCAGGAATGTCCTTAGTGACATCACTCTTCACATTGTTTTGTATGTATGACATACTTTTTAAAAAATGGCTGAAACTTGAGTATTTTTTTTTCTGGACAGATATATTTATTACATCTACTCCCATACCATTGGGTCAAAAGCAAGAGACATGCCCAAGCCTGAAGTTGGTGGGGGTATATAAACTCACCAAAGCAAGGATAGGAAGAATTGTGTACAAATAGTACTGTATAGGGTACTTTTTATTATATGAAGGATTTCCTGAAAACTGCACCTTTTCCCCTTATTTACCTTATAATACATATTCTCAGTTAAATTATATCGTTTTAAAGAAAAAATGTTGAAAACAAGCATGCTTTATGTTAATGCATTTGCAGCTGATTTATATAGGGAATGGTAGCTTTCTTAAATTTCTGCTATGAATATACCTATTTTTAAAATTGTACCCAGCATAATAAAATGTCTTCACATGAAAATCCTGTGAGCAGTGCTTCTCAAACTTTGGTGTTCATCAGAATCAATTACCTGGTAGAATTGTTAAAACATTGATTGCTGGGCTCCACACCAGAGTTGGATTTAGTAGGTCTGGGGTGGGGCACAAGAATTCACACTTCTAACAAGTTACTGAGTGATGCTGATGCCACAGGTAACTACATTTATAGTGTCAGTTTAGCCCCAACAATCTGCTTTTTTATTTTGGGCTTTTTCTATGCTGTTAATTTCTCGAGTTTGATGAAATGAAGCAAAACCACACACACAAAACTCTTGAACAAAATTTTATTCTAAAAATATATCTCAGTAACAAATACCAAAAGCTGGTCATATACTAAACAGAAATAAGAAATTTGCTTAATTTTTTTTCCTGAAAAATACAAAATTATCATTGTAATACTCTGCCAACTCTCATTTATCTGTATTTGAATTGTTCCTTTTATAGATTACCCAAGGACATTTTAAAATCATTGAGTGGATTCAGCCTAATATTTAGCTATACATTTGGATTGCTTTTATCTTCAAGTAAATACATTCCCAAGGAATGTGAACAAAACTGAACATTTGCTTAAGTAAACATAATTAGGAAAGATAAATTTATGCTTAGGAAATGTGCTCCAAAGCAAAATATTGGTTTGCATAACTGTTTCAATTTTTACACATAACCAAAAAAACCTGATTGTATTGACATACTGGTATCTGAAACTAACAAATTATAGAACTATATACAGAGAAAAGAACTAAATTTCAAACCCAAATCACAGGAAACTTTAAAGGCATATGATGACATTTAGTAATTAAAAAGTGAAATTATATCTTCAAAGTGCTAAAGAAGCAAATACTCAAGAAAATGTCAGGCCTGTCTACAAAGTTTTGACTAAAGTACTGAAATATCAAGAATGTAGGGGACAAAACAACTTAAATTTAAAAGAACCCCATTACTATAAAATGTATCTTAAGTAATTTTTACAAAGTTATGAAAGCAGTAGTGAAAGACCAGTTAGGGCTAAGTTAATAACATACAACTTACTTATCAGCCTACATCTCTTTTCGAACTAAGGTAAACGTGTTTCATAATATTTCTTCCAGACTGCATGTGTCACGTCCATATTCATCTTATCAACTGGCCATAATGCAGTAAGTAGAAATGATCCTTTTATATCAAAATTCTTGATATGATTTGAAATTGTTTGTAAACCAAAAGCTGATCACAAAAGTTGCATTTAATTCCTATTAAATGTAGGTGCATGTTCACTTGAACATCTTAGCTGCTGCTTAGACTATTAGAAATTGGTGTGATTTACTTTGACCAATCCAAGATAGAAATAGTATTTAATCTGACTAAATACATCTTTTGCGAAAATTTGACCCTGAGTTTTGAGTGCTGGAATATAAACTGAAACACACCAAAATGTTGGCTAATATTGGTGTCCCTACAATACTGTGCTTTTTCTATTAACATAATACATATGAAAATACCCCATTATCAGCAAGGAAGGAAGTGGAGTGGTCTGAAGAATGCCCAAATAAGGAAGCAGGAAGTGCCCTGTCTTAAAAATTCCTGTTTTAAAACTTCATAAGATTTATTCTAAAATGTTTTCCCAAATTTGAGTAAAACTGTTAGTATGGGAACATGCAGTATTTTTATCCTGTAGGGTTTAGCAGCCTGAGGGGAGCTGCACAATCCCTGGCCTGATAAATGGAGGATTAAAATCTGGTCTGACTACAGAGTTCCAAATGTTGTTTTGGAAATCATATAAGGGGCTTTTTAAAAATTAGGTGTGTTTGCAGTAAACATTTCTAGATACTGAAAGCAGCTCTACATCTCAAATATTCACTAAATATATAATCACTGAATATAAAATAAAGCAATGTCCAGTGGTGTCGATATTCTCACAGTAGCAAATTAACTTATTTAATACTAAAAACCAAAGTCTTTAAAACATGTTAAACAATGAAATTTGCTGAAATTACAGATAGAAAAAAGATTTATCAACTGCCATTGAACACTCGAAAGAAATTAAAAAATACAGGCTCTCCAGTGGCTCTCTTAACAGGGCTAAGCCCAAGTATTGTTTCTGCTTTTATTTGATCTTTTTTTTTTTTTTTTTTTTGCGGGAAGGGGGGTGTAGTTTGTTTCTAAACTAAGTACTAAGCTTTAAAACATATAAGATATTGATGCTTCTGGAAGACATTTAAACTTAAATTATGCTTATGATCTGGTTTACTCAAAATTTCTGCTGTGTGGCATTACTAATTAGGATATATATAGCCCTGAATAGCACTGAAATTCTGTTGTGTGAGCAGCAAAGACAATCAACATCTTGAGTGCCATGACAAGCTCCTCATTTGTATGCCCAGATGGCATCATGCCCTTTAGTGATGCTGTCTTCCAATTACTCACCATTTGTGACCAATACCACAAGAAAATGGGATAGGACTTGTCTTACCATATATTTTCCAAAAGTGAATATAACCATTGTATTAACTGTATGTTCCAAATGTTCATTAAAAACCCACACCAAACCCTTTTTTAGTAATCATGAGGAATCTTTACATATTTATATGGTATATTGTACATTATATGCACATGGCCTGCTTATACTATTTCCAAAAAGAGAATATTGTCGTAAACTAATTGATAGGGTTGCATCAATCTTCTTTCCATTGGTCCTGAGATTTCCTTAAATGATGGCATCATGTTCATCACTGTAATATAGCAAAAGTTAAATTACTTTGTTTTGTATTTGTATCAAAACTACATATATATTCATATTTTTAAGTAAAGTAACAATTTCATGTTTCAGAATCAAAACTGATTGCTTTGTGTAAAGTTTTTTAAATAAAAGTACCTGCAGTGGTTAAAGATTCAAACGGTGGTTCAAGTTGTCAAACAGACCTACACTCAAGTCTCTGCTCTGCCTCTTAGTGGCTGTGTGACTTTTCATCACTTAGCTACTATAATAACCCTCTTTAAAAAAGAAAAACAACCAACATTTCTGGAACATTTACTGTGTGCCAGATGTTACACTACAGACTTTACATTCATAACTCATTCGATCATCACAGTAACCCTATATAGAGGGCGCTTTTATTTACTTGATTTGTTCATTATTCCACTTTGCTGAGGATTAGAAGTTAAGCAGTCATGCGAACTCTCATCTTGACCACTCTGTACTGTGCTGCTGCATCATTTAGATAAGCATCGGAAAGCACCCGGCTAGTCAGTAGTCAACCAGACTCAAAACTAAGTGTCTGCTCTAAATCCCAACTATTTTACTCCACTGTCTCTCCATGCAACTCTAAGAAACATAGGAGTTAACATTTTAATCAACGTTTTAATCAGCTATTATTCCCAATAAATGAAAACTACAGTGCTCGTTATTACTAGACATAGAAGGTCTGTTTCTTTAGTGGGACAAACATTAAGACCCTACTAATGGAATGCCATTTTTTATAGCTTCAAAGGAACTACCAGCTTTAAAATGCACTTTTATTTTTTTACACAGCACTAAGAAAAACACAGCCAATTAAACTACAACGGAATGCCTTCTCATCCCACAGACTGTAAGATATATCCTAATTTCAGAGGTGTTATGTGGACAAAAGCAAAAATGTGCACTCAGACTCAACTAAATATGGTATTTTCACCATCTACTGGGTTCCTATGTGAAAATAAGACTCCTATTAGAGTCAAATTCTGCTTCTGCCAGCACAGCTCCCTTACAGTAATGAGGATGACTTACCCCATAGAGCATGCAGCATTATACAGTCATATATATGCAAGGAAAAAATTATCCCATAAAGCTAAATTTCCATACTTTGTAGTTAAGGAAGTTCAAAAGGAAAACCACACATTTTAATTTAATTGCTTCACTATTTTATAGCCTCAACTATATCACCATTGATATTATAAAAAATCAAAATGGGTCTTCTATTTAACTGCTTAAATTTACCAAGAAAACAGACATATCTAGAAATACATAGTAATTTTTAAAAAATTGCAAATTTTAAGCTCAGTCAGTATTTCCCAAATGTTTCTGATATGTGAACTCTGTGTGAGATGCATCTGTGTATGATAACTTAAAAAGAACAGTTTGGCAAATGGTCATCTATTTTATGGTATTAAATACATTAATAATTGAAAGAATGAATTAGTATTAGTATATACAAGGCTCAAAAGAAAAACCCAAAAGGACTTTGTTGGAGTAACAAAAACTGGGAGATAATACTTCCAAAGACCTACAAAATTCATATGAAGGGTGAACGTGGTTTGGTGATCAGGATTTGTTGATAAAACTCATGTGAAAAAGACAGTTTTACTACAGATAAAATTATAATATACTAACAGGTCATTTGATATAGCAAATTATCAGGGAAAAATGTGACTCTCAGAAGAATTTCTTTAGCTGCTTTGTCATAAAGCAAAAACCATGTTTTTACCAAGGATGTTATTTTGGTGTTACTGACAAACACAAGACATGCTAGGTCAAAAGCCACATGATACCTGATATGGTATTTCTTATAATTAGAGATATAAGCAAGTGAAAAAGGTTGGCTTAACTTGGGTCTCTGGTAAAAAAAAATGTATGACACCAATAAAATACAAACATTTTTACAGGTGTATATACATCCACTTTTGTTTGTAAATAAGTATAACCAGAAACTGTACATAAACAATTTACTTTGGTCATAGAGGGTTACTGGGATTATAACTCATAAATCTGTGAATTATTCATCCGTGACATGAATACTGCCCGTTATTTTGTTACGATTTTTAAATAAATACAGAAAAAATAGCCAATCAACTCACATGGTTCTATACCGAATGCCTCTTCTTGAATAGTATGTTTTGCAGCCAATGTAGAGAATAGATAAAATTCCCATTGTTAATGCAATACCACCAACAAAGCTGCCAATATCAAATTTTGATCCTTTATTTTCTTTAGAATTTACAGTTGCTGTGACTAGAAAGAAACAAAATGAACAGGCTTTAGTGCTTTTTAAAAACATTGTAATAAGCTAAAACTTTCTGAATTTCTATATTAATGAATGCCGAATTGGAGACAAGAGGGAATCTAAGCATAGAAAGTTGCTCTCCAAGTGTGCCTAGCAACTTGTCTGGCTCTAGTTTTCTTCAGTTTATCCAACACATCTTTAATGAAAAACTCCCAGTGCCTGAAATCCCACGATCTTAAGGTGTTTGGTGGTGTTGGAATTGGGCAGCCTAACAAAACCTCAGCAGCAGTAATACTTGGGGAGGTTTTTTTCTTATGAATCTTCTTAAGAGCTCATGCCTTAACAAAATAGGTCTGGGTAACAGCTGTAATCTTGAAACTGGGTCTAATTTGAATGTTTCTAACTGGAATTTTTCCCTTTGAAAAAATTGGGAATTTAAACTATTTTGATTTTATCGTGGCAAGAACCCCTGAGACATTAAAGGTGACTTCAATACGTAAATTGTAGTAATAACCTAGATGGAGTAAAATATATAAAAACACAGAAGAAACCATAAAGTTTATTTGTTCTGATAAATGAAATCACTAGTTTTTAAACAGAATTTCAGCACTGGATAACTTAGAGAAGAATCTTCTTAAGGTTTTTGAATTCATGGTTTTACAGGCATTATATTTTTTTAAATGCAAAAAATAAAGAGTGCTGAGACTCTGATGCTATATATATGATTATATCTATACCATTTTAAAAAACCTTTATGGCACAAATGAATTAAAACCAGTTTACCATGATTTTGGTTTAGAAATCTTGTAGAGTGAGCCTGCCCTAATTCCTTCCTATAATGCAGTAGAGTTAAAGGTATGACAATTTTCAAATCATGTAAAATAAAATCCCATGTTGAGATAAATTATTCACAGATGGATCTTCTATAGTCGTTATTTGGTACGATTAAGTTGGAAACTTTTTAAAAAGTTTAAACGGGACGAGAACACTAGTTCAATCGATTCTTTTCCTGAATTATTTAATAGGAAATTGTCTAAATTTTGGTATTTATTGTAGAATAGAATGATGATCTAAATGTGGCATTTAAGAACTATTTTCAGCATAGGAAAAATAGGTCAATTTTAATACATACTTGTTACTGATGAAGAAACAGATGTCACCGAACTGTTGTGGACTGTGGTCATCATGGATGTTGACATCTGGGATGTGTTTGTTATTTTGGGTATAGACTTTGAGGTGGTGGAGGTCATATTTGTTGAGACCCCTGGTGTTGTCATTTTAGAGGTTGCTGTGGGTTTCAAGGTGGCGACTGGAACATTTTTTGAGACTGTGGAAACTGGAGTTGTCGATGGTTTTGCTGTGGGTTTTGAGGTGGTAACTGTTACTGAGGAAAATGGAGTTGTAGATTGTTTCACAGTGCTGTTGGAAGATTCATTTGTATGGCTGGAAGGCACATGTGGAGTATTCCCTGCAGGAATATCAAGAAATATTAAAACTGGACCTATGACTTAGGGAATTAAGATTCCACTTCCTTGTCACTTTCGTGGTTACACATAAAGAGATCTAACACATACAGCGGCAAGAAAGATACTTAGTTCATTAATAGTTTGCACTATATGGCAATAAAATATCTCAAACTAGTAAAATACTCAACAAGAACCAAGCCTAGATTTACTTAAAGGGATTTTTGTGAGGATATGAAAAAAATAAAACCCAGAGGACTGAGTTCCTTCAATACAGGGATAATCTCTGAACCATCTCTATCTGAACATCTTACTGTAATTCCTACCACAAATATTAGTTGAATGGATGAATAAATTAATGAACGTAAGGAGGGTTTTTAAAGTTAAAAGTTTAAAGTTTCTCTGCCACATCCTTCCAAGGAGCTTTAAAGACAGCAGTAGCATGTTTCAAATTCCTACATTTTCTAATCTTTGGGTCTCTATTGTGTGGTCTCTTCCACTGAGTATTATCTAATGTGTTTTAAAAGGCCAAAGGAATTAATATTTTGTACTACATAGACCGATAAGCTATAATTTTCAAGTAGATGATACAAATGCTATGAACTTGAATTAATCTTATTATTCAATTCTGAATGTTCTATGTACATATAATATACTTTAGCATTGAAATAATCACCTTTTATTTTAAACTAGTGAGTGAATTCTATTGTAGTGAAATTAAATACAGCAAAGAACCAGCGTTTATCTCATATCTTTGGAACAGAATGATCTCTGAAGAGTAAAACAATGAACACAATACTGCTTCTGGATTCATCACACACACATGCAACTCTCCTCACCCTGCCAAAATAAATTATTCAAAAATACTATACAAAGTCACATGCACAAAAATAGGGAGCTATAATGGGTTAGTTCTCCACTAAGAAAATGCACATATGTTAAAGAAATAACTAAGCAGCTGAAACTATCTATAAATTGACAAAACAGGCAAGTAAGTTTTGTATTAAACTGTGTTTCATGATGTTTAAATGTGTCAACTGCAATACAAGGATGCTCTCAAGGTTAGAACTCACATCTGGTAACTCAACTTCCTTGCCTGTAATATACGTAAATGGTCATGTGCTCCTCTACAAGTAATACCATCCCACCATGGAAGCCTGGATGCCTTCCCTCTCCCTTAACTGTTCAGTTACTGACTAGTACCCCCAGGGGGTGACAGAGTTAGCACCTGCAGAGATGAGAACAGACCATCCTGGATTTGCAAGGGTTTAAGCCTTATCAGACTTTGCCAATCTCAGCCATTCGGTCTTCTCCAGTCTCTGAGAAGCTGTAAAGGCATGGGAGTGGGCAAAATGGGTGAAGGGAGTCAGAAGGTACAAACTTCCAGTTATAAAATAACTCATGGGGATGTAATGTACAGATGGTGAATATAGTTAATACTGTATCACATAACTGAAAGTTGCTAAGAAAGTAGATCTTAAAAGTTTTCATAAAAAGGAAAAATATTTGTAACCATGTGAGGTGATAGAAGTTAGCTAAACTTATTGTGGTTGATCATTTTGCAAATATCGAATCATGTTGTATGCCTCAATTTAGTATTGTATGTCAATTTATACTTCAAAATAAAAAAGTACTAAAAATCAAAAGAAGTTGTAAAGGCCAGAATAAAGTAAGCAGTGTCACTGTGCTGTGTGCCCATTCCTACCTCTGTTCATGAAGGAAAAGAGAACACTACCCCTCATTTCAAACCCAGTTGAAAAAGCTTCAAGGAAACCACCTCAAGAGCAGGGCCAATATCTCCTGGACTTGAAGGGACGTGGAGACTAAGATTTGACCTAAGCCTGAAGAGTAAGTCTAAAGATGAGATGGTGTGGCTGAACTAGAAGTAGACTCTATTTCCACTGACAGCAGAAGTGCTTGTTTCCCATGAACCAAATCAGGCCCCGTGGGGTTGCTTTAAAAGACAGCCTCCCAAAGAGTTCTGCACGGAGGGTCAGCTGGAGGAGAGGCCCTACTGCATCAAGGAAGCTGAAGTGGGAGAGGCCCCAGCTATAGGCTCTCCCAGGAATCTTCCTAAGAGAACCAAGTCAGCCATCCAGAGGGCACCTATGCCAGCTGCAAACATCTCAACCTTCACCCAGCTGGCTTTCTTCCCATAAACTCCTTTAGTCCTAATCTTGTAAGGGTCAAAACCAGTAGAAGTGAGGGGAAGAAAGGCAGAGCAAGGAAGGAAGACAACAATGTCACCTTTCCCATAGCAGTTTTCCAATCCTGAAGCAGGCCCAGGCTGGCAGAAAGGAGAATTTCCAACTTTGAATCACTGTAGAGTTTTATTATTTTGGTATTATTTTGGAAAGCAAAGGCACCCTACTAAATACAATTCATTCAATAAATTGGACATGCTACTGACAGACAACACCTTGGCTAGTGTAGGTGGGAGGGTGGAGCTGCCAGTGAAGAGGTGCATGTGATACCTAGTTGTTGATGCTTAGCGTTATTACGGGTTGAACTGTGTCCTCCCCATATCCCAAATTCATATGTTGAAGTCCTAATCTTAGGATGTAGCCTTATTTGGAGATAGGATCTTTACAGAGTAATCAAGTTTAAATGTCATTGGGATGGACCTTATAAATAGAGGTTAAGTAACTGGTGTCCTTATAAAATGGGGAAATTTGTAGATGGATATACATAGGAAGAACGCCATATGAAGATGAAGGCAGAGATCAAGATGATGCTTCTATAAGCCAAGGAATACCAAAGAATACCAGTAAACCACTAGAACCTAGGCAAAAGGCATAAAACAGATTCTCTCTCATGGCCCTCAGGAGGTAGCAACCCTGCTGACGATTGGTTTCTTGGACTTTCTAGCCTCCAGTACTGTGAGACGATACATTTCTGTTGTTTAAGCCATCCAATTTGGGGTCCTTTGTCATGGCAGCCCCAGAAAACTAATATACTCAGGTTCGCAGTTTTTTCAGTTTTTACAAAATGTCTCTCAGCAGCTAGACTGGTATTCACTAGTGGTTGTGCTGGTTCCATTTACAGATCTTTGAAACTAATCACTGTGAGATGAATTAAGTCAGTCAATACTTGTCAAACCACTCTCAAAACTTGTTTAAATAAAACTTGAAATCATCTAAAGATTTTGATTAGAGAATTTCTCAATCTTAACTCCTGGTTTCTACTAATATAATTACAGGAAAATGAAAGGGCTGTAATAATGGTGTCTGTGCACCTTCCTCCCCGATAGCTGCGGTGTTCAGGAAGAAAAGAACAAGAACATACGTACATATAGATATGAGTTATGTTTTGTCATAGCTGTAAAAATACTCAAAACAGTCCAAACAGCTCTCCATTTTTGTTTTGTGATAAGAGAACTATTCCTCGTGCACAATTTTTCTATGATAGTATCAGAGCTTCCATTTATTGAGCTCTTTATCCGTGCTGGTGATGTGTTTCCAGGCACAGTAGGTACCAGCTCTGTATCAGCTCAGCCATTTACTTACTTGCTGGGCTACCTTAAACATGTTACCCAAATTCTCTGAGATTCACTCTCTTTCCTCATCCATCAAAAGGGATATCACAAGTATTTGGACAAAGTAACTGAGATAATTTGTATTGAGCATTTAGTAGAGTGCCTACTACTTTAATAGAGGACATGCACAATGAATGTCTTTGTTTTAGCATGTTTTATTAATTTTATCTCCATTACAGAGCTACTGTAAAGTTCCCTATAGAAGTCAAGAGTAGGCATGGTCAGATCTCCTGTTTCCATGATTATCATTGCTGCCATCTGAATAACATGATATTGAAGAGAATGCTATTAGGGGTATTTTCAGTTCAAGATGTAAATATCCAGAAAGAAAAAAGTGATGCCCCAGGCTTTTTCTATTAATATCAGCTGGCCAACGACACTATGAAGCAGCCAATTTTCTCTAGTACTAAGTAAAAGAACTCATTCTCTTCAAAGTCTGGATTTATTTCAACTATCTTTGTATAACTGCGGTGTTGAAATAACTTTCCTTATTCCTATAACCTTCAGTCCAAAAACATCCAAGCACCATTTTTCCCTTTAATGTAAATATTTCAAACTTAAGAGTAACAATTTGTTTTTATTAGGGCATCAAATACACACTTAAACCAGAGCTGAAAATACATAACCAATTTTTAAAATTTCAGTTATTTTAAAATGGCATGGTAGTAGCTTTTCATTTCCTGTTATAGTTGTCAAAAATACTGAGCTATTTAAGACACGGACTATAAATTTCTGGTGCCAGAATTATTTTGAGGGGTCTGTGATTCTAAGCATTGCTGGCATCTTGAGCAAACTGAAAAATAACTACCCTTGTGAGTGGCTCTAGGAATATTTTTAAACCTTGAGGACTTCTTTCCCATAGAGAAACTAAAGATCAGTGTAATCCCTGAAATAGTCATTATTTAGAAAGCAAAGAGGCCATCGCACAATGTCAATAGACTCATTCCAAAAATTCTTTTGAATTCAAATTACCTTAGAGCCAAAAATGCACAATTAAAAATTCTAGATTAAAAAAGTTGAATCTAATAAAACTAGACTTAAAAAAAGTCTTACCATAAAGAACTGTTCATTTTCTGAAAATCAAATATATTTTACAAGTTCCTAAATTTATTTGAATTTAAAAATTAAAATTCCAAAAAAGAAAAACAACTGTATATATACAAACAGAAAAATGACAACTGGGGTGTTTTAAATAGTTATTAATAAATCTGCAATAAATTTTATTTCCACATTTTAGTTACACTATCATTCGCTCTGCCTAAATCTTTTATTAATATAAACAGGATGTTTGTTTATTCTGGCAAGAACTGAAGGAAATATTTTCAGTCAAAGTAATTATTTGCCTTAAGGACAGTGAGAACTAACAACTCTGAGATACAGTCCAGGTTTGTTAAAGGAAATTCAGTATGATGGGTGATCCTGTTAATCCCCAGAGCTGTATGGAATAAAGTAGCTGAGCAGAAAGGGTTG